GGGGGGCCTGGGCTTTGGGCTGATTTGATAAATGTAATGATTGTGGCCTTCGCAAGAGCTTCGTCGATTGAGGTCGAGATTTATCGGGTTATGAAAGGTTCGCATTTAATCTTTTTGTACCATTTTAAAGTTAAAACATGTTTTTCCCGCTCCCTTTATTACACCGCACGCTAATCCGTCATGTGCTATGGGAAAAACGTCCAAAGTCCAATCAGAACATACCCAATCATTGCACTACGTAAACATTAGGAGATTTTTGAATTTGTCACGCAATTCTCCTGCGCTTTGAATTTTTCTACGAATAAAATTCGCCTCTGGCTGCCTTGGATTTAACCCCATCGCGTGTTAATACCTTGTAAACAACCTGCATTTTAACACCTTTTTCACACACAGAGGGCAAAGTCGAGATAGGCAATAACCAATCAAGGAGCTCTCTTTGAAATGTTATCCTTTTCTCTTGTTCAGTGTATCTTCACTAATTCGAGATCGCAATATATTTTTGGTAAGGGAACAACGGTTTGCTTTTCGTGGTTGAATTACGTAGAATTATGTTTTTGAGAACTAACTGTAGACGAATAATTTTGATTTTCTCTCTGTTAGAGGAACGGTTGTAAGCGTAGTCTCTTTCGCAACCGTTATTTAGTCTCCTTACGCAACGCACTGATTCTCCATTTGAGCAAATGAAATACAGGGCGTCGTGCGAGGAGGTCAAACAACGGCTGCGAAGGAGACTACAGTAAGCAAGGCACTGATGCAATTTATTGTTGCTCAGAAATATTAAGACAGTAGAGACAAAATACCTGTGTGAGCTTAGATAAATTAGATTTTTCTGTCTCTTAAAGTAAAGAAATGCGATATTTTCGTTCTTTTGAAAGTTACGAAAATATTAGGAACACAAAGTGTCCCATCTCGACCTACCCAGCTAAAAAAGTTACTATTGCATGCTACGCGTGCCTATGTTTTATTCAACGTCATTTTAGCATTTCTATTTCAATTATAGTTTCCAATAAAAAGTTGTTGTTAATATCAAAACGCACGTGAGTAATTCTCAAAAACGTATTATTTAACCGAGTTCTTTAACCCACCAAAATGTGAGTAGTCAATAATAACATGTCACCAGAAATGAATTCCGAGGTGCTTTGTGAGGCAAAGCATTCGGTTGTCTGTGAGACTGCGGATGGCGGATGCTGATGACGGATGGGAAAATGCGGATGGAAAAATGCGGATAGAAAGTGTGGACTGAAAAAAAATACAAAAATTTAGAAGCGTCACCCGAATGAGTTGAAACAGCGTTTTCTGATTCTGCTTAATGGTACTGTGTCTTTAACCAAACAAAAAGGGAAAAATGACATGCTGTTTAACACTGAATGTTGCCCTTACCGGTGGCTACGGTAGTCCGTTCTAAATAATCTAGAAAAAAGCTATTTGTATTTAGATCATTGAAAAGATAGAGTCGCCAGCATCGTTTCCGTTTCATTATACTTCTTGGGTGGCAAACACTCAAACACCTTTTCGGCAAGCTGAACCCATGGAGGGAGAACTGCTCCATTGTCGCAGGAACTTTGTCTGCCTTGCCTCGAGAAAATCGACTTTAGAAGGGATTGCCAGTTCAAATCGCGTCCTTGATACGTCTGGTATTGGATTCCATCCATTAGTTTTTCCGGCATGGTATGAGCTCTAACCACTTATGTGCGGTGTCGCCTCTCACGCCAATATCGCTTTTAGTTTGCCCTTTAACAGTGTGCAAACCTTTCATTTTTTTAAAATCTCAATATGGCCCCAAAGGGACAAATTGTTATTATCCGTTTTCCGCTTTTCTATTCAAGGTCCGAAGGATCTGAGTCTTTGGCCAGGCCGCAAAGCGGCAGGCAATGCGGGTGCAAGCCCGAGGGGGCAGGATTACAACCAGAAGCCTTAAGCCAGGCCCCGAAGGGGCAATCATCATTCTCACTCACACCGATTCTTTCAGTAGCAAGTGTCGTTCTCTCGCCGGCTGGATTGTACTATAAAAGAAAAGAGTTGATAGCACTCGTTGATAAACCAAAACCAGCCCAGCGAAGTGAAACGCAGCAAAACACTCAAGGCCGGCCCTACTTGGCTTTAATAACCGCTCTGCGGCCTGCCTCTTGGGGGCTTCCTGTAGGAGTAAAGTCAATGAATTAATTTTTTTTTCTGTTTACTAAATAAAATGTCTGATTAAGCTTGTGAAAAAATTGACCGATTGAGCTTCCTTGACTGGATTGGCTGCTGGAATTAGATGGGTTGCAAAGAAAGTCATCTAAGAACCGATAACTTCTGATCAGAATTTAAATCTCATGAACTACGCGAAGTTCACTGTCGGATTATTCTTTGAAGCTGTACAACAAGGTGGATAATGAAGAGCTTGAACTGAGGGAATTACAACTTTCCGATTTCTACAAGCCGAGTGTTCAACAAAAACAAGGTGAGATGATCTGTGTCAGAGGAATGGCTTTGGCTTTGGGATTGGTTACCGCTCTGTGGTTCGGTTGAAGGCTTGCCAGTCGTTTCTTGTGAACTATAATGAAATGGACAGAAAACTTCCAAGAGTTTTTTATAGTTCTAAAGGCTTTTGGAAGGGATTGCTAGCTGTAAAGAAGTTGGCTCAAGAAGCCGGAGTGAATGAAGATGATGCAAAGCTTTGGTTGATGAGGCAGACCATCTGGCATATTTATTTACTTGCCCCAAAACATATTCCGAGACCAACTTTTGATGTTGAATCTCCAAACGCAGTTTATCAAGCTGGTCTTCTTTTCCTTTCTCATGACAGGTTTCGAGAGGTAAGAAAGTCTTCGAATATGCGTCGACACTTGTTGATGTTGCAAGCAGATTCAAGGCTGCTGGTGCAATAGTGAAAAACTTATCAACTTTCCTGCAACTACTGCAACAGAGGCAGAATTCGTGTAAGAGAATTGCACAAACATAGTTGGAGATCTTTTTCATGAAGGACTGCTCTCAGACTATCATACTCTTCTAATTTACAAAGAAACTGTTTTGACAGAAGAACAAATCAAGGCACACCACGACTTCTTCATAGGAAGATACAACATTGATACTGATCCTGTCGAATGGTTGAATTTATCTAAATTAGTTCTGATACCGAAGATTGATAAGTTAATATATCATACTTTTTTGAAAAATTATGACGAGAGTTTTGCGCTGGTCTCAGTGAGTAGCTGTAAAATATGATATTTCTTGGCAATGCAAAGCCAAGGACAAAAAATTGGTCCGGGCTTGAATCAAAACACTTTTTTATACCTTGTTTTGTATTGTCCCAAAAATGTCATTTTTCTAATACATTTTTTAAACATATTTTTTTCCATCCACACTTTTCTATCCACATTTCCATCAGCATCCGCCATCCGCAGTCAGCTGGTCGTCGTTTTATAGACACCCAAAACATCCTGGTTCTTCAATTTCAATCTTGTAAACATCTAATTTCTGTTGCACATTGAGATCTTTGCTATTTGTCTGCGCTTAAAACTAGACTATGAATGGCGAAAGATAAAAAGAGGGAAGAGTCCTTTGGTGAAAGTAAGAAAAGAATCCTGTCTGTAAGCACAAGAATTAAGGAAACTCGATGCGGAATAGTTGAAGAAACTCACCGAAACGGATAAGGGTTCGTGGTTGAAGCGACGAGCACTCGATCAGCAACCTTTAACGAGTTCTATCGAAGTGTGCTTAGGCCGCTTTTAAGTTGAAAAAAATAAAAGACATGAAATCGAAATGGCCGGCCAGCGGGTTATTTAACTAAGTTCTGGTGCGGAAAACTGCTACCGGCAAAATATGTTTTTGCTGACAGTTTCCTGAGACACCGCGGGACACTTCTGTGTTTGTATTGGCGTTCGGCATTGCATTACGAATTCGAGCCTAAAGGTTCGCTTAGAGCCATCGGATGAAGCTTTATTCAAATAACCGTTAGAGTTGTTCTAAGTTATTGACACTAAGGTTAGGTGACTTCTGACTGTTCGTCAAGTTGGACGTCATAGACAAATAAAACATATTTCTCTTTTAAATTAATCTTCTTAATACCCGAAAGCAAACTTTATACTTGTCGCATTGCTCTTCTTTCAGTTTAGTAACACATAAGAATATGGAAAATCCAAATTCAAATTGTGCAGAAGTTTTATTTGAGCGGTCAGATTTGATACCTGATTAATCCGCTCAAAGAAACATCGTCCGTTTCAAATTGTTGCGTCTCAGTCTGTTTACGATTACATCGAGCTAGAACTAAACTTTTCCTTTTTTTCTGGATGTCGCATTTATATGCTTTTCATTTATTAATAGTTTGTTTGCACTGTGAATAGCCCATTTAAAAACTTTTTCGGAGGGACATTTGCCAATGTCTACCGTATCCTTAAAAATGTTTTCTACATGGAACAAGTTTTGTTAAGCTGGTTGGTAAATTGCAGAGATGCTCCATTTTTTTAAAATCTATCCGTCAGTTCCCTAGGGAAGGCAACAGAAGCCTCGAGTGGATGTAAAAGTGCATGTAACAAATAAAATGCATCAATGCTAGTCTAACTCGAAATCTAATAAACTTTTTCATTGTTTCAAATTTTATCTTTGAGATAACAATCAATTGATCCGCTCATTTGTTCTTCTACAGTCATCCTTCATGTGATGATGGAATTACCAGGAGCAGGTAGAGTAGAGTAATTCCAATGAAATGTTTATGTACCTGAAAATGAACTAGAAAAAAAATATAATATCTGACTGATTTATCATAATAGGTAGTCATAAACTTCCTGTTAGAATTACATCGGATTGTAATTCAAAATGTAAGTTGGAAAGCAAGACAAAGAATAACAATGCTATCACCCTGATCTCACCAATTTCCACTGGTAAAATCTAGCCTAATTTGTTTCAGTGAGGTTTAGGGTTTTGATGCCCATTTTTGGTTATCAAAATTAATAATAAAAAAATACTATCTCGTCTTCATCACTGGGTTTGTTTATTTATTCATTAGTTTTTTTTTCACAGAATGCCTAGCAACCTGTTTCAAAAACTCCTCTTACATATTTTCCAAAAGCGGAAGAGACTGGTCTAATAACAGGATTGTCTGTATCGTCCAGGGAGGTAACTTAGTTTCCATCGAAACTGAAGAAAAATGGAAGTTTATCAATTATGAGATTCGAAAGCGCGGTACTTGGAACACTAGTACGTGGCACATTGGTTTAAGGAAGAGAGACGGGGTTTGGACTTGGGAGAGTGGAGAACAACTGAATGTTTCGAAATGGCAATATCTTGAGCCAGATCCTCACGACAGTTACGCGGAAATATCCGAGAATGGAGGCGTCTTTAATGGTATCTCTAAGTGTGATGATAAAGCTTATATCTGCGAGATGCCCGGAGGTAAGATCACATTTCAACCATAAACTACATTATGTGCTGAAACATTACTCTTACACTTTTGTCATGCCCTTGCCTCTGAAAAGTAAAAATATTGTACACAGAATATGCTCAGCTCACCCAACTTGTACGTTTGAGCGATGAAGGAACTTTTAAGCGCGCATTAGTAGTTCAACATAATGCCCCTAAAAATTTCCGGGACACACGTTGGAATAAAAATTATCACTCTAGAGTTGTAATTTTTTGCATCGCCTGCAGCTGGAAGAGCAGCGATCGAAATTGTACAATTCACAACTTTTGTCGAGTGCGCCGCGATTGAGATAATCTAGCCCAACGGAATTTTCCTCCCCCACAAGTTACAAGATGTGTTCACTGAGTTCAGTGAGCGTATGCATGTTGTTTTGAACATGACACATTGAAGTATTTTCATATTTTGTGTGAAGGTGGGTGCGCATGCGTGTTTCTTGTATGAGTTACTGATAAATATGTTATTCACGGGCCGGGAGGTTCGTATTGGGTAAGACTGTGCCCAAGGTCTTGAGTACCACTACTTAAGACAGAGCGCACAGTTTTTCCCAATACGGACCGACCTAGGCTGATGAATAACAGTTTTTTTTTTCTTAAACTTCACGAAATGTTTTCCAAAAGGACCCTAATGATTGAGGGCTGTAACTACGGCAAGATGCTTCATGAAATGAACAATTTTCGAGTGAGTAAATGTTAGTTGAAACAGAATTAGGTAATGCAAATGAAAGAGAGGCTAAACCGAAACTTAATTTGTATAATGAAAAGGGTGATTTAGAAGGCTTCCAGAGAGACTTCAAAACATTTTTTTTACATGTATCTGTCACACTCTGACACCTGTCAATTAGAGAGCAAGTAAGAAAAAAAAGTGCCTGCACGCTTTAAAAAAGAAAAAAAACAACAACAACTGCATTGGCTTGGCAAACAAACTTAAGTTCAATGACTGCGACAATTTTTTCTTCAAAATAAGTCAATGATCCTACGGAAAGTATTACTTCCATCGACTTTTGATGAGCGAAGTATAACTCTGCTCAGTCAGTAAATGGAAAGTAATTGTAAGCAAATTTAAATCTATGTTTTGAAGTTGTGGGATTTTGCTCGTTTGTTTGGTCCAATCGCGTTGTTAAATCTGGTCCTTAATCAAAAAGTGAATTTTAATGCAGCTTTTTCTCGTTGAATTCCTTCGTTTTCTGCTGTGAATTTTACGGTAGAAATGTCCAAACTTACCGAAAGCTCATTTGAAGTATAGAACTGAACACTTCGCTCACTGTTTTACAATGAACAAATTGTTTGAGAGAATTCAGATATAAAATGAATAAAGTTCCTTAATTAGTTCAATTTTAAACAAATACGTTACGTTCGAACTTTCTGAGTTACTTCTAGCGAAGGTTTAGGTTAATTACAAGCAGTTTTTAGGCCGCGCGTTAACCCATTTAATGACATTTGCTGATAAAATTCATTTCAAAACCATTTTTTTTCGCTGGTAACCAAAGTGATTCTAAGGAGAGAGAAAGAAAGGATTAATAATAAGTTATTAATCAGCTTGATTTGCTTTGAAATGAATTGCTTAAAAATACTGCCCAGCTGGCAAAACGAAAATCCGGAGCGCATTAAGAACACATAAGATTGCAGAAGTCGTTACCGAGCCCTATGAGAAAAACATATTATAAATACTGTTCTTTTGAGAGAGGTTGTCGGAAGTGCAAGCGATAACCCCGAAAGGTATTACGGGTATCTTTCGTGGTTAGATGACCTCAGGATTTTAGGGAAATCTTAGAATATTTCACTTTAAGGACGAGGCATCACGGGTTTGATGAGCCTATTTCATTTACAAGACTGACTTCAAAATCTAAACTGCATGAAAAACGAAAAACAAGAACCTACCCTAATTAATTTATCTTTACTTTTTATTTCCATATTGATTACCGTTTCACATATAATCTTTTGAGATTGTCGCGTGCACTTTAAATTTTTGCTCTTTTTCCCTACAACCTTTTCCATATCAACTGTATGCAGTTAACTGTGTATCTCCAGTGGCACATTTTTGGGAACTTACTTGAAGTCTGTCCAGATGGAGGAGGAAGAATAGGAGGCGGGGGGAGATGTCAGCTCAACGAGGAACTAATTAATATTCAAAAACTCAACTACCAAAATTACATGAACTCACAGATAATCTTAGCTGATGTGTAGTTAAGTAATTCAGAAAAACAGGTCCGAGGTAGTGAAGAAAGATGTATTGTATTAACTGACACTGATTAAACGTAAACTGCAGATGTCAAAAATGTAGGAATCAAATAGAAAATAAGTCACGTTTTCCATCTCATTTGTTTTTCTCCTTTATTGTCATTGTGATTATAACCTTTTTATGCTACCATCATTGTTATAATTATTACTTTGTTTATCATCATTATGATAATTAGTATTTTCGTTTTCCTTTTCATCATTTTGTAGAATGGCAAAATGTAACTTTTCAAAACTCTTGGTACATATTTTCGGCGTATGGAAGATACTGGCTCTGGAACAGAGTTACCTGCCAAAACCAAGGAGGGGATCTAGTTTCCATTGAAACCGAAGAGGAATGGAGTTTCATCAATGACGAGATTCAAAGGCGAAATAATATCCACTCTGACATTCAATGGAGTATTGGTTTAACCAAAGGGGCCGCGAATTGGACCTGGGTGAGTGGAAGACCGCTGACTATTTGGAAATGGGGACAAGGGGAGCCAAGTGCTGAACACGACGCGGCCTTCATGTACAAGCTGTCTAGTAATGGCGAACGGGGCGTGCTTGGTAGTGGTGTTAGCAATGTTACAATTTGGGAAAAGTGGCACGCTTATATTTGTGAGATTTCCATGGGTAAGTTTTTTTGTTGTTGCATGTATTTGTTGTTTCTGTTAATATTATTTTGAGTAAAGTAGAGGGCACCGGAGGCGCTTAGGCGCATTAAAAAAAATTCTTTGCTAAAGTTTGTGATACTCACAACAGAATTTACGTAAATCCTCTGACAGTCAGAATCAAGTTTGCAGTTACCTTTGCGTAAATGAAAATATGTTTGAAACAATCTCAATGAAGGTTTTTCACGATATAAATGTCTAACTTTCAATCCTGTGTGCAGAGGAAAGTTCAAGATGGTTCTGTTTCCATCACTATTGTTACGAGTAAGAAAAGTTATAAGACTTTCAATCATCAGTGATTTTCATGTAGTTGATTTATCCTTTCGATTGAACAAAATGATGGTGAATACTAATTGCAAAGAATCATTAGTCTGACAGTCACCAGATGGCGTATATACATTTTCTTGTTTAAAAAATAGTCAATACTGAGTTGGAATTTAATTGATGCTCTGCTTACCAAAAAGATAAACATAGGCATGCAAAAGCTATTATTTTGGCCGGGAGGGTTGAGATGGGACATTTTGTGTTCCTAACGCTTTCAGCTTTCTGACAGAAAAAGAGCATAACTTTTAAAATAACGAAAATATCGAATAACTTCACCTTAAGATAAAAAAAAAAACTTAATTTATTTGAACTCACACAGGTATTTTGTGGTCTATTGTCTCTATTATCTGCAAAAATCCAAGCAAATATAAAATTAATCGATGCCACGCTTACCGTTGTCTCCCTTTTGGTCTCGTCACACAATGCGGTCACCCAGTATTTTGGAAAATATTTGAACATGTGCTAATAAGAAAGCCATACAATTTTGAAATGGCTCGATTAACATCTCATTCTAATCGAAGATTTCTATTATGACCCATCTTTAGCATCGGCATCATCATCATCCTCACCATCGCCATCGCCATCACCATCGCTACTGTCATCGCCAACGCCGTTGTCATCACCAACGCCGACGCAAATCTCAACTACAGCTCCAATAACAACATCTTATAGTAAGTATTAATAACAAAACCAATAAGAACGTATGTCGTAACACTGACAAGGAATAATACTATATTCTACATACTTTATACTATATAAAATATAATATGTACTCTGTAATATATTCTTTACAGTACATAATATATACTATATACTAGATACTTAGGTTTAGTACCTAACTGTCATGTTATGAGGAAAGCCGTTAAACAGTGAAAGAGCTCAATTAACATCTCGTTCTAATCGAAGATTTCCATTATTATCCATCTTAAGCATCGGCATCAGCATCGCCATGGCTACTGTCATCGCCGACGCCATCGTCATCACCAACACGGACGCAAATTTCAACTACAACCCCAATAACAACATCTTATAGTAAGTGCTAATAACAAAATCAGCAAGAACGTATGTAATAATACTATATACTACACACTATATACTTTATACTATATACTATATAATATATAATGTATACTATATACCCATAAACTCAGGTGTAGCGCTTGACTGTCATGGCTTAGCCCGCAGCGCGCGCAGGGTGGCCCATACCTATGAAATTTAGTAATAGCCCATCAAGGCGAGAAAATTTGGTTTAGTGTGTTTTTGTATGACCTACCGTCCAAGGTACTACTTTTAGCATGTGCGGGCAACCGTATTGCGGGCTCAAATTTGGCTATTACGTTGGCAAAAGGGAAATGGAATAGGTAATGCGTAAGGGCGGTCGCAAGCTTAATTTGGAGGGACATTCGTGTGCGCTAAGAAGTTCAGATACAGGGTGATGAGGTACACTACTGCCGGAGTTCGTTGCCGAGTACCGCGAGCAAAATTTGGCTATTACGTAGGCAAAAGGGAAATGGAATAGGTAATGCGTAAGGGCGGTCGCAAGCTTAATTTGGAGAGACATTCGTGTGCGCTAAGAAGCTCAGATACAGAGTGATGAAATACACTACTGCCGGAGTTCGTTGCCGAGTACCGCGAGCATCCAGTTAGCGATTACACGAGGGCTTCACGCGGGCTAGCAGAGTTGAAGCTGCGCAAGCGAAGGAATTTACAACCTGCATTTTCAGCAGGAAGTTATACTGACTAGTTCATAGTTGAAAGCTTATTGATTCTTGGTATTTACACGGCAAGAGGAACGAGAGGAACGCCAAAAACGACTTAAAAAGACTGATGTAAAACGGAGATTATCTAACGAAGAGTGGCACGAGAACGAAGAAAAAAAGCTCCAGAAAAAAAGACAGAAAAAAAGTCTACAACAAAGAAAAAGCAAAGCACAAAGGAACCGAAAAGGAGAGCCCGGAAGGAAGTTGATTCTTATCTGAGTTTTCTTTTAAGTTAAGCTCAGGAAAAATTCAAAACTTTTTTATCCATCGTCGTTTGATATTAGCTTTAGTTTATAATTCATTGGTGTTTTACCGCAATAATATATTCAAGTAATACTCTACATATTTAAAACTGATTACATACTGTCTTTTATAATTGTACACATTTTATTTGCCCCTCAAATTTTTTGGCATCAATAGTTAAGAGCAACTTTTTTTTCAAGACCGCGTGAGGACTGGCACATCGACAAAAAATGACTACCCTCATATTTCAGTCAGAGGTACCGTACAGTGAACTTAGAAACGTGATAAAGTTTTCCTCCCAGATTTGCTTCTTTATTCTAGAAAATTCGCGAAAACTGAAGCGAACGTCGGTAGCCGTAAAATGGTGGAAATCAGTGCCCCGAGTAGAGGCAAATGAACTTTGCTCATAAAAGACGCAAAAAAAGGAGGTTCGCATCTACTTGATAAATTTGTATCGGTGAGATTGACGAATGGTTTAAGTCTTTATTACATCCATTTTGAAATCACTGGTGGTCCCTGTGATCTGATTGGCTCTAATTGGTGCGATTTATTCACGAATCGCACCATTTTTTGCTCTAAATCGCATCTTTTTCCAGCCAATGAGGAAGTTACACTTAAAACAAAACAACCAATCAGATTTCAAGGCTTGTTTAAAGTAACCAATCAAATTGCAGGAAAATGAAAGACAAAGAGTATCATTTCGCAAATTTTGCAACTTTTGTTTCCATAACTCTTATTTTTCCCCCCCAAAAATGGACGAATTTAATCTTTTCAAGTTTTTGAATGATGACAATGAGATCCTTCAGGCTGAAGACCAACATTCCAGGGACTTTCCCACTTTTCGTGTACATTTTGGTGAATATTTTGACGATTTTCTACCCTCTCAAGCTCAAAATCCGCACAATCCCGAGTCCACCGAGTCAGCAACAAACGAAGAAAGTCAAAAGCCACCACAAGAGTTAGATGTTTCAAGATTTCCTATCATTTCAAGCGATGAAATACAGGAGCTTAAGTCTGTCGCTTCGAATAAAAATACGTCCCGCTCCAAAAAACAATGGATGAATGTTTTCAGAAGCTGGTGTCAATGCCGCCATCTTGAATATGTCTCCATCGAAAAAATGGCGCCTGAAAAACTTGACAAGGTCTTGAGTAAGTTTTACGCCGAGGTGAAAAAAAAGGACGGAGATGACTACGAGCCAGAATCCCTTAAAATCATGCAGAGTGCCATTGAACGGTATCTAAAGGAGAAGAACTATCCATTGAGCATCGTGCGATCGAGAGAGTTTCACTCCTCACAAGAAATCCTCAATGCGAAAGCAATTTCCCTACATCAACAAGGAAAGGGAAAGAGACCCAACAAAGCTCAGCCAATCACACCTGAAGAAGAGTCAGCCCTGTGGGAAAAAGGTCAGTTGGGTGATTTTAATGGAAAGGTCTTGACCAATGTCAACTTCAAAAATTTGACAGAACAACTGGGATTTCGTGGTCGTCAAGAACACTACGATGCATACGTGGAAGACGTAATTATAAGACAGCGAGAAGCTGGAACTGAAGTTGTTGAGCTCAGGGAAGGTCCCACTAAAACGCGGAGCGGTGGTCTCACCATCAGGCGAAAAACAACACCACAGGCAATGTTCAGCACCGATGGCGGAAAAAGCGATCCAGTGCGGCTATTCAAGCTTTGATTGTCCAAGCGACCCGAAGGAATGAAGAACACAGGGCCACTCTATCTTAGCATCATAAATCGTCCTAAATCAGCAGATGTTTGGTACACCAAAGTTCGAATGGGACAAAACACCATCGGCAATTTAATGAAATCCATGGCCTCCTGTCTCAGGACAAATAAGAAGCTGACGAACCACAGCATGAGGAAAACATTGGTATCAAAACTGAAGAAGTCTGGTCAACCGCGCAATGTTATCTGTGAAATAACGGGCCATGCACGTGAATCTTCGTTAGACGACTACGATGAAATAGACGAGAATCACAGGAAAGAACTGTCTCACATTATCAGTGGATATAAAGAAGTGTCAAACGAAAATCAAGCAAACGAAGTCTCCCGCCAAAACACTGCAAATGAAGCCTCAAATCAAGAGATTGCAGTCCAACATAAACGAACACCTCTGGTTCCTATTTATCACGTCCAACAACAAGGCCAAATGCATCAGGCCATGGGCTCCAATCCTGGTTTTCAGCCGGCTGAATTTTCAGGATTTCCACCACGTTTTCCGTTGCAGTCTCAGTACCGCATAGAAGCCTTCAGTTGTGCTGCTCCCGTTCCATCGCAGAATTACACAGGCTGCACCTTCAATTTCTTCTCTAGAGACAGCCAAAATTCTCCACCCCAACCACAGAAGAAACGAAGAGCTTACATCATTGAGTCCGACGACGAGGACTGAACTTTAACGCTTCACTATTTTTCTGAGTTATTGAGGACTTCTGGAATTTCTCGAATGAAAGTTGTCTTTCTTTTGATACGCTTGACTGAGTTTTTGACACATGACGTCAAAGTCTTTCTGTTTTGCATACAAAATGAGATGTAAAAGCGTTTCCGGTTCCGCTTTTTATTTAAAAACCGGCTCAGTACTGCATCAATAAAATATTCGAATTGACCAAGTCCTGTATTTGGGTGATTTCAAAATGGATGTAATAAAGTGGTAATTGGACCTCGCGTCGTGCAATTTTGGTCTGAAATCATACTTGTAAATTCAAATCGAACTCGCGCTGCGCGCTCGTTCGATTTTGAAATCACGCGTATGATTTCAGCCCAAATTGCACTCCACTCAGTTCAATTACCATTATAAAACGGGACCACTTTATTCAATTTGGGGCTTGCAGAACGCTTTCAGAAATCACCAATTAATCAAAATAAAAATATCGCATTTCATGGAAAATTTTCTGTTCGATCAAGAAACCATACCGTAAGCTAACGTTGCATGGTTTACGACGGCAGGCTGGTTTTTATCCCTGCTTTCGTTTCAAATTCTCATTTATTTCCCATGGTGAAATTTTTTACAATAACACATTCCGTAAACTAGCGGCAGGCGTCTGTTTTTCTTTGCATATTCGAACACATTTAAGTTTTAAGAAAGTTCTGGGATAAAACTGAGCTTCTTTCTGGACTTGAGAGAAGACAATTCATTTCCTGGAATGTGTCAGATTACTAGAGTAGACTTCTCAGATGTCAGCTAGTAAAACATTGCTTCTGAAATTTTACTGACTTAAAGATACTATAAATAGATGGTTGCAAGAAAAAGCACACAACATCAAAAAAATCACACTGAAGTGTCTATACAGACATTTGTTCTTATTGGTGATTGGCCTGTGATATTTTTTCGGTTTTTCCTATTCATCTTCAGGTTAGTTAGATTTTGGATTTTACATTCAAACTGGGTTGGATTTATTAATTGCTTATGTTTCATCATGGTTTGTTTGTATGAAAAGGTAATTTTAGTTTAGGCTGAGATATGTTTTTGAAGCAGCATCCTTATGAACTATCTTTTAAAATGGAATGCTTCGATAACTTTCTTCATTTCTCTTTGATTCTACACCATATAATGTTTCTGGAGCACAACTGAAGGAAGCAGGTTGTAACAAAAAATTTATTCGCTTCAGAATTTTTATAAGTTGTGCGAACTACAGGTCTCTACGAAATCTTCATGAGTACGAGTTTTGTCAACATTAAAGTCTTACATGCATGCGCACGGGTACATGTAGGTGTTGTGAAAAGCTGTTAAATGCAGCGAATATTTCGCTTGGATTTTCCGCTAAAGTAAACTGTATGAGTATATACTTATTTTTTTTTAATTTATTTTTCCAGCCCATCATGAATTCTAATTTTTCAACCAAATTTTATATTCTTTGAATTGTCATTAGTTATTACAAGTCTATTCAAAGTACGAATGATACGAAATTTTTTTTGCCTTTTCTGGTTGATAGCTGTTTTTAAAATTAGAACTAATGGAACTTAACGCCCATCGAGTTCTCCTTAACCAGTTTTTTGTGCATTGAAAGTACGATTTGGCGCCCAAAAGGTGTCCCCAGTAAGCGCGCGGCCAAAACGATCATGTTACATCGTTGTGACGTCGGCAACTTTATTGGGGAAGGAGAAACCTAGAAGAAAGGACGAACGTATTGCATGGCCAGAGTGGCAAATGAAGTCAGCTACAAGAATGATACATACCCGTATATACCGGGTATTTTTATACATTACCTTCCAAAGGACGTGACTTTATGGCCAATTGGACGCGTTTCAATCGTCGACATCGGGCAGATTTTACTCTTCAATGACGTCGGCCTTATGCTCCGTATCGGCTTCGAAGACGGCTGTTACGAACGCATAAGCTAAAAAGAATGCTGATTAAGGAGCCTGTTCCCACACCGTAAACGATTGTTCAACACTCTTTTCGGCTGACATGTCGTAAGCGAAGAATGGTGAGCTCCTTATTGTTGATTGTTTCACGCGCTTGAGATGTACTCTTACTCCTTGTCCTTCCACATGACTATCACGTGAAAGGACCAGGAGCGTTTATAAATCCTATGAAAATCCTGCCAGTTGTAGTTTCCATCGTATTTTGTTACCAGAAATACACAATTTGTAACAAAATTCAAGTCTTTTCCTGAATTGACCGATATCCTGTTACGTAAACAGTGCGAAACCTCTGGCAGATACCAGCTGGCATAAACACAAGCTCGATGGGGCCGTGTATTCTCCTAACCTAAGTTTCCCAAAATCCATCACACAAGCCATCAATTCCCCCTACCTTCAAGAAACTAAAAGTAACAACAGTAGCAATGGAAATGTAATAACAGCACTGCAACGAGATAAATAGAGAAACACAAATTTTATTGAATTAGATGGTAGCGAATCCAAGTGATTTGTGAAAGTCGATGCACATTTGCCTTTGAGCGAAATGGACCATGTGGAAATGCTGTACTTAAACTAAAGAAGTTTTGCCTATTAAAACCCATATTTGGGACTAACTTGAATCAGATGACCGTAAACTCACTCGTTTTCCTTTTGACCGGCTCGACGACGATAGCTTCCCGATCTGCCTTTGCAATCTCTAAGGAAAGGAGCAACTTGCGTTGAAACTGCCCGACGACTTCTCGCCGAAAAATTATCGTGCCTCGTGCCAAAGCTGATTCTTTCGCTAGAAGTTAGCTTTTGGTCCGCTGAGGAAGTACTCTACATCAATGAAACTCCAAAGCACTGATCAAACCTTCGCCACACTCAGTGCGAAGGAATAAAATGTCAACAGAGACGAACACAGCTAACCATTCTTTGAAAAAATTCCGCCATAGCAAACAAAACACAAACGCAACAAACTAAAATTCAGTAACAGGAGTTTTTTGTTCTAATCCTGACCTGAACACCGCAAGCGAGAAACCGTCTTTGTCAGTCTTCGTCGAAATCTTCGTTTGATGCACGCGGTTCTCCTTCTTAGAGCTGAACCGTACTCGCAACTTCCATTTCTTCTTTATTACTTGGGTACGCTGCATCAAAACTCTCGGTAGAGCTTGCTGAAGGTAGGTATACGTCGCTATCTGACATTATTTCAAAAGTATTTCGACGCCGATTGATACAAAATTACAAGAGATGTGAGAGATTTGTGATTGTCAACGGATAATTTTCGCAGTTTTCTACGTCATCACCCGCTAGCTCAGTCCACGGGACACTTTCACGACAAAATAAGAGCACTTTAGGGCCTGAAAAAACCGAGTTTTGAAGTTTGAAATTTTTTAAAATTTTTTCTTCCATCGGAATTGATTTGTACATACGACAAGCTATATGGTGTAGGGGTTGGGACTACCGTCAAACCTAAGTTTTGTGCACAGCTTATGCATGAAATCTACAGATTTCATGAAGTATCCCATTCTTCCTGAAACTAGATTATAAGAATAAGTATATAACAGCAGTCTAGCAGGGCTTTTCACAGTGATAGTTTCCAGGCTTAAATAATAATTTTCTTCTTTGAAATTTTCTCTAAATCTACTGGCTTGGAAGACAAAATGGACAGTGCATTCAATGTATAAACTGATTTATTGCATTGAGTTGACCGGTACCCAAGTATTTTCAAACCTTTTATGTTAATTTTTTTTATCGTGAACCAAAGAAAGTCCTAATGGATGGTCAAATGAATAATTTTTCAGATCAATCAATAAAATCTATTATAGTATTTCATGTTAACATGTTCCCACAACTCCTTCTGAGAGGCTTCCATCAAAAACTTTTCAACCTCTTTAACAATAACCCATACATGACCAATACACCCAATCTTAATCGACACGTCTACGGTAGTTTGCGAATCGACTCACTTGAAATCGAATCGTGGGTTAACATACTAGAAGTAATTGTCGAGCTTTACGATAATGAAACTGCTCGAAATGGCTCCTAAAGCGTACATCTTTTATGTATTGAGGGTTTGATGAAAAGCATCGGTCAAAAGTTCTTCCATGTCGACGATGTAACAAAAAAATCGTAAATCGTAAGAACAGAGAAATTCGCCTTTTTCGTAACTAAGCTAAGTTTGTTTGTTTGATTTATTGATTTATTTTAACAACGTTATTTTAGACGCGAAGTTAAGCAAAAGAAAACCTGACCTTGTGGCGGTCATTTCTGGGGGCGCAGAAGTAACAAGAGGACTCCAGAAAAACATCACACTGAATGCCTCACTATCGTATGACCCAGAAGTTGCACATGGCAACCAATCAGGAATGAAATTCACCTGGCATTATGGCATAATCATAGCTAATCACTCCAGCAAACAAGCGGACGCGAAAGGGGAGAAAGATTTCTTTACGGCCGTGAACGAGTCAGCCATCCATTATTTCGGAAAAGCATCTGGCGAACAAATTTCCTTAAACACCGAAGCTTTGTCTCTTAATCAGACCTACATAATTAAATTGGTAGTGACCAAGGACAGTCGTATTTCCACCGTTTATCAAGTTGTTCATTTGATAAAAGGAGATCCCCCAGAAATATATCAAAGGTTAGGGGTCTACTTTGTTTTTTTCTGTTATTTAGTTTGTTTGGTTTGTTTTTAATGCTGTTTTTGTTGCCATCTTTAATACCTATATTTGTTCTTTACCTTGCTATTGCTCATTATTTTCACTACTGATGCTTCTGTCGTCCATTTCTACCTGTTTTGTTTCTGGTTTCGTTATTTTTCGTTGTTTCTGCCGCCGTCGTTTTTTTTTATAATTTGTGGTTGCTACTAATGATATATTTATGGTTAACATTGTCGTTCTGGTTGTTACTGTTGTTGTAGCTTCATTAACAGTCATTCATATCAATGTTAAATTGCAGCCACTGCTGCAGCTGTTCTTTTTAGATGCATGCTCTCACCAAATAACGGAAGTTCAAAACCCTTTCTTCACTGAGTGTTCGCCCAATCTTTTTTGCTTCTTTTTAGATGTTTCTTTAACTGCCACACTAAAGTGAGTCCCTCGGTCAAACTTAGCATCGAATCACAATGCCGCGGATTACAGTGCTCTAAAATATCTTCCTATGAGTGGATGTTCTACCAGCAATTTAAGCAAAACATGTCCTTTAACTGGAAAAGGAAACATAATCTACGACTCATCACAAGTACACCGCTGAATTCAAGTAACATTGTTATCAAAGAAGGTTCCCTTACTAGTGGAAATAAGTACCGCTTGGCACTAATAATTACAACTACGGACGGTTTAAAGGGAATGAATGCTTACGATTTCGTTATAGCGATACCTCCTACAGGGGGGAACTGTTCGATCACTCCGCCAAGCGGCATCTCACTGAAGACTGATTTCAATCTGAGCTGTAGCAACTGGGAAAGTGACAACACCCCTCTGACCTACCAGTTTCAATACAGGCTAGAGAACGGTCTGTACAATGTGTTGTATCGTGGCGTTAACAACACCATAAGAACCTCTTGGATACCGCCTGGGAACAATGCAGATAACTTTACTGTCAAGTTTAACGCTACAGTGACTGACAATTTTGGAATTTCTGCTTTCCCAATCCCTTTGACAGTTCATGTAAGTCGCTAACCATTAATTTAATGTATAGTATGAAAGGATGTGAGAATATTTCAATTTCTTTTGGTCCGTATTAGATATAGATTAGTTATAGTCATAGATTCTCGCTTTTAACTTTTGCAGATCAAGCCATCTCAGAAAGAAAGACCCGATGCTATCACAAACTTTCTAATGGCAAATTACAGTTTATTCGATGAATTCATCAGGAGCAGAAACCTGAGGAAAGCGGCACTAATAGCAAACTCTGTCCTGCTATCAGTTTCACAAGAAACCTCAATTGAATTGCAGGAGAGATACAAGGTACTTTTAAAACCCAACTTGTTACTTAAAAAGTGAAATAAAACTAGTTCGTTATGATCATATCCAAAAAGCAAAGAGCGTACCAAGAGCCAAACATGCAAAAAAAAGAATTGATAATTTGTAATTAAAAAAAGAAGATAACAAAAGAAATCAAATTCCGAAGAACAGAAAAATTTAATACACTAAATACAGGAACATATTTTTGAGAAAAATGGAGGCTTACGTGTTTAATATCTGATATTTTTGCAGCGCGAGAGTCTTGGCTTCAATGTCACTGAGATGTTCATTTTCCATTGTTAATTCTCGCGGGTTGAGAGTGTGAGCAAACAATTTTCTTTCGTTGTAACGAGTGAAGAACGAATTAAATTTTAAACGAATACTTACAACTTTTGAAATTGAGGTTTGGAAATATTTTTCATGGGCGGAAATCACAAGGCATTCCTTCGTTTCAGCTTGGTGTTTTGATGCATTTAGACCAATCATGCGCTTGCAAACATCATTTTGATGGGTTTTAATTAGCAATTTTTAGTGGGAAACCTGATACGTTGCGTCTAAATATGCCTTTAGATGTGTTATCTTTGGAACGATCCTCCTTATGCAGGATACAGTCTGTTTGCCTAATTCTTTACTGGCTAAAATAACATTAAGCTGATATGTTTATCATTGTTCAAGGTTATGAACTACATCCTTGAAAGCTTTTCCTCCTTGGAAGCGACAACTTTCTCCGAACTGCTTCAAAGTTCATCAGTTATCGGTTCTGCTCTTCAGGTTTTGGAGAAAGTGCCCCACCAGTCTCTGGTAGGTTAATCCCGTCATGTTGATTGGGGCTTGAAAAGCTATGGTTGTTACGTCAAGTTTTCATACCATGACATTATTTAACTAGAAAGGCTCAAGAAACAACAGCAATGACGACAACTGCAAAGTACTCACTTTAACTACTTAACCACAAATTATTCCTACAAAGGTAAAAAGGAAATAAATCTGAAAGTAAGCATCTCCATTTATATTCATTTGCACTCCACAGAATATCTCCTTATCTGCTATCAGCTCAATGACGTCACTCCTGTGGTCTCTCGCCCAGGAAAAAAGACGTAACAGACATACAGCTGACAACCCAATCAGCAGAAAACTTGGCTTTGTGTCTAAATTACGCTCTGAAGGCGGCAGCAGTGATTGCATCAGAGGACTTCAAGTCAAGTTTTCAACAACAGGTGCTGTAATGAAAATTTAGGTGGTGTCGTAAAGTCAAAATTAAATAGACTTTTAAAACTTATTTATGCATGCAAGCATAATTGTTAGAATTTCTTCATTGGCGAATGGTCCATTGCAGATTTCTATTAACTTCACCGTTATTCCCTTTGTCATTCAGATTTTGGAACTTTGTTTGTTTGTTTGTTTGTTTCAAGCTTGCGAAAATCCATAACTTGCTTATATTCTCTGTTTATTTTATGCAATTTCTACAGGGTAAGATATTGGTGAAGATTTCAATGAAGGCCCTCGAGAAAGTTGCAGACTCAGTGTTGGCCCTGACAGTGCCTGATGAAAGAACCATACCAATCACAGTAGGACAACTATCCATGACACTCGGAAGATATAGCATCCAGAGACTCTCAGGACTGGAAATAAAAGCAGGAAAAGGCCAGTTTATCTTACCGTCTAATGGCCAATTGTTACTCTCTGGAGTAAACATAACAAGTTTCGTAGATGTTCAGGTAGGTATTCACGCCCTAAAGGAAAATTTAAATCCAAGTTTTATTTCAGCAGATACCGACCCCAGTCAAGTAAAGTAACACATTGGGTACCTTAAAAGTTTCCTATTACCTTCAGCAATCATATTCTTGTCTTGCTTTTGGCATGTTCGACTCTGGCACTTGGAACGGCAAAAAGAGTCGAATCAAGCTTGATTTTCTTAACATCTCCTTAAATAAACCTTACAACTTAGTTGATAACAGGATCAGATCTCCTACTAGCCATTTTCGTCGTTTTACATTCTGGTTTCAAAAAATTGGCAATGAAAATATTTCATATTAAGAGACCACGTAAATATAATTTTTTTTTTTTTGGTTTAAAAATATATTTTCAGTTTTATTTTGCCCTTGACTTATGATAACTTATGATTAGTAGTGACACCGAATACTTTGTTTGTGTTCAGTTTGGAAGTTCACCAATAAAATCAAACAAGTAAAATTTTCAATCGTTCTTCTTTTAGATGCTGTCATTTTCTTTTAACCCTTATACTTGGGATAGTTCAAAGGAGCGAGTTGACTCTGATGTCGTAACCCTGCAGCTGAAAAACAACAAAGGAGAGCTAATTAAAGTATCAAATCTCTCGGAAGACATCGTCATCATTACACCTTTGAAACCTGGGAAAAACTTTACGGAAAAGGCAAAGTATTTCACAAGGAATGACAATTTACTTTTTCACGAGATAGAGGTTAGATTTGGAAACACCTTGCTGATGATGGAAATCAACCCTCAAGAACCAAACGTATATCTGTTTGCATATATGCGTTTTGGTCAGCGGCCAACATCTCAAGACTACGACCTCAATGCCACTATCCCTCATGACGAAAAGTGTGTTTGGATGCTAAGTGCACATGACAAAAGTGAAGGACAAACGGTCTGCTCCTTGAATCCTCATGTACCGATACAAGTACTTGCTGAGCGTCCCGGGAAATACTTTCTTGGCTTAAAAAATTACAACGCCACAGTGAATTTATCTCACAAAAGAGATAAAAGGTCTTGTCTTGGAGGAAGGCGAAGAAAGCGTTCCTGCGTCGAAGTCAAAGATCCACCACCCACCCCACCCCAGGGTGAAAATGTCTCTGTGATGCCAGTTTATGATTCCACAACAGACCAGAAGTACACTCTGAAGGTGGTCTTAGGTAGTTGTGTTTACTGGTCAGAAAAATTTGACAAGTGGATATCATCTGGCTGTCGGGTAAGTGAAAAATTATATAACGATCTTCAGGACAATCTGTTTTCTAAATTTAACATTGTATTTAACACAGTTCAGATACTTGGAGCTTTCCTGAGTAATATTCGCAAAAATTACTGTGCGATTGTAATAATCTTTACTCATTAGGTTCGTTATTGCATTCAGGCTAATCTTTGATAAGAGAACATTTTCAGACAAAAGTCGAATCGATTTGATAACCAGCCGGGGCTAATCAGCGCCTTAAAACAGAAAACATACAATGTGATTAATGGTGACAGCCAAAATGATTATTTTTCTTAATAATATCTTCCTTGCATTTTATAATTCCAGGTTTTAGCAGAATTAGATGGATTCTTAAATTGTAGCTGTAGCCACCTGACATCATTTGGGGGAAGTCTTTCAGTTGAACCGAATCCTATTGACTTCGACAAGGTTCTAGTCGAGTTCCAGCAGTTACCAGAAACTGGAAATATCGCTGTAATTGTGGCTATTGCGGTGGTTTTATTGTGTTATACAACTACGTTTGTTATCGTAAGGAAATTCGACAAAGAAGACGCGAAAAATGTAAGTGTCGACCCGGATTTTGCTTAGGACCATTGTTTTCACGGGACATGCTCTTTCACTCTCAAACTCGGGGTGTCAATTCTCCCCTCCAGCTGTTATAAATTTTCTTGTAAAATAAGTAATGACCATTTGCTAATAGTGGAGCTCGCAGAGCGTAGCCCGATAATTATACAAAATAGTAGTAACCCATCAAGCTGACAAAATTTGGATGTACGACCGTACGACCGTACAAGGTGCTTCTTTTAACATGCGCGGTCAAATGTACCGCGGGCACGCCAATACCACGGCTTTGTTCAGTGGTCCAGTGGTCAGTGCACTGGGCTCCGAGTCGGACGACCCGGGGGCTAGTCCTGGCCGGGGCAAGACGTTGTGACGTGCGGGAAAAAAAGATGCGAGCTCCGCTTTTAGGCTTGGCTAAATCCATATATTATATCAAGATACCAACTTCTACTTGATAAGTCTGAATAACTGTTTCCTGGATAATAGGCGGATGTTTGTTGGAGAAATTACATGTTGATCACTTCTAGGGGTTAAAGGGCTAGGAGGAAAAGGCTTTAATGTTGACGACATTATTCGCTTTCAAGGTTTGTTGAGATCGAGATTTTAACTTTTAAACGCGTTTAACATATCCTAAAAAAAAAATTAAAATTTAAAAGTGAAGTGACAGTCAATTAAATTAGACCGTTTTCAGGGTTTACCATGATTTTTTTTTTCGGAAAGGGACAAAAAAGCGAATTAAGAATATACATTAGCTAGCCGTGTGAATAGTTCATGCTTTATTATGTTTTTTTAGAGGAAATTACCGATCCAACTTCCATCATCATGTTCAAGTAGCACCTATGATTATATTATAGTGATTACTACTGGGGCTTGGAAAAACTCAGGCACGACTGCTCATGTAGCTTTGGAGATATACGGTTCTGAAGGAAAGAGTGGCATTCTTCAGCTTAGCCAAGAAGAGCCTGCTGCAGTTGATGTGTTATTCTCTCGAGGTAATTCAGATGTTTTTGTACTTTATGTTACCAAATCACTTGGTTCGATTCAAAGAGTGCAGATTGGGCATGATAATTTTGGAGATAATCCCTCGTGGTACTTAGAGGAAATTCTGATTCGGGATGTACAATCCAGGCAGTGTTGGAAATTCTTGGCCAGTCAGTGGTTTGCTCTTGAGCGCGGTGACGGGCGCATCGAGCGAATAATCGACAAGACCTCAAATCATCTGGATTTTGGCGATGAAGTTGCAAGACGTTGGCGAAGAGGCCTCGCGGAAGGGCATATTTGGATTTCAGTAGCAGCCAAGCTAGGAAGAAGCTGCTTTACAAGAGTACAGCGGCTTTCTTGCTGCCTCTCAGTGCTTTTGACATCCATGTTTGCTAACGCGATGTTCTATAAGTTAGAAGGCAAATATGAACAGCCTATCCAAGTCGGACCACTGAAAATGTCGTGGAGACAAGTGGTGACTGGAATTGAAAGCGCGCTTGTTGTGACGCCCATAAACACTGTCATAGTGTTACTGTTTCAGAAAGGGGCTGAAAAGTCTGTGACGAACAATGGCTATTGTCATAAAGGTACCCTGATCAGTGGTATCTCTTGGTGTTTGTTGCTTTTTTCTTGTTTTTATTCGGCTGCGTTTACAATTTTTTACAGCCTTATTTGGGAAAAGATTGTCAGCGAGCAATGGCTGTCTTCGATGCTTATCTCATTCGCGCAGGACGTAACAATCAAGGAACCAGTAAAGGTGTTCTTCACAGCTTTAACTGTCGCGGCCATTTTAAGGATAAAGGCGAAGAGATCAAAAGTACACGCCTGCGAAAGCCCTCAGCAAGTTAAAGCTGGGTACAATAAGAAAAATATTTGGGCACTGGAATTTTCAGAAGTGGAAAAGATGAGGAGACGACAAGCTAAGAAACAGAACCTGTCACGTTATTTCACAGAATTGGGTTTATACTTGGTCTTCGTTTTCTTACTTCTGGCAGTGTGCTATGGAAACAGAAGTGACCATCGGTACTTGATGACAAAATCAATCCGAGATGGACTACAAAACTTCGGCAAGGTGAGTAAACATTACTTTGTTATGATAAATCCTTTGCTGAAATTCCCGAGTTTGATTCATCTTACGGTGTTTCATTCCTATGGGACTTCAAAATCGAGTATATGAGGGGAAATTTTACTTTGCCGGCCTCCTCAAGGACTGGTTTCTTTTTTCTTCTATACAGACATTCGGTGATTGACTGAGGCATTTTCTGCTCTTGTAATCGACATTTTGAGTAGGAATATCTCTTTATAAACAGAGCAACAGAGATATGTTAGGGTGTAAGACCCGAACTCAGGACTGGAGAGAAATTCCAAGCGATAGTAGTATAATTCCATGAAGAGATTGGATTGACATTCAATTCTACCATAGCAACTCACACAAACCTTATATTTGAGGGGATGGGTGCAATAGGAATGAGCACTTGGGAATAATAGTCTACAACAGTGTCTACGATAGGCCCATACATACTAACTTGTTTGTGTGACTATATATATAGTGTATAATGTCTATTATATATATATATATATATAATCAAAAATTAAAACACAGACTTCTTATATAAATATATATATATATATATATAAATTTATAGGGGAAGTCTATGTTTTGATTTTTCCGTTTTACAGTGCTCGATACGTAGAAGTAGAGCGCAATATATATTGAGATACGGGAAAAAAGAGACTATACTTTCATCCCTGCAAGCCTGTTTCGTGATTACTCTCTCATCAGGATATTGTATTGCTAAGAATATTCGTACCATCGTTTAGATACTTTACAAATTTGCATAATAGGCGTGGCGGTAATTTCAATGCTTTGTTCAATTGTTACGCAGTAACGCTTTGTTTCTGTGGCGGCATGCGGACACGAGTTCATTACCTTCATTGAGTGATGATAATTCAAGTTGGCAGATGATGGGTAATTTTTCTTTGAGGCAGAGGTTGCATCTTTTGCTTGCGCTGTTAAAGGGTGATCTAGATGAAAGGATGCGCCATGAAATAAAATGGTCCATGTTATTTTCTTTAAGGGTTCAGATATGTTTGCTGAGTTCGATAGAGTTTCTGTGTTTTGTGTGTCGGAATGATGCGGTACAGTTTCTATATCTAGTCTTGAAGTCGTTTTTCTGTAAGTCCGATATATGTTTCAATGGTGCTGTTGTCCTTACGTGACGGTTGCTTAGTAGATTTGTGGTGACTGAAGGCAGTTTCCGTTAAGTGGGCATGTTTTCTTCTTTGGGCAGTTGCAAGTTTTGGTGTCTTTTGTTTTGGTGTTATCTGCGGTGTCATTGATGTGTTTTTTGGATGAATTTAAAATGCATTTGTTGCGGTTGTCGATGATCTGTTGAATGTTATTCATGCAGCTGTAACTGATCTTGATTGCGTTACGATCAAAGATTTTTTTAAGTTTGCGGTCTTTCTGGAACTGCTTGTCTATTAGGGCAAGGAATCTATGTCTGATATTGGTGCTAACATTTTTGCTGAATGGTAGGTTCTATCAGAGTATGTTGTTCCGTTGTCTGTTTTTTTCATTTGTTAGTTGTGGGTGGTTCGTAGTGTAAAGTGTACCGGTATCCGCATTCGTCGAGTGCTTTTTTTTTGGTGGAGCGGCTTCGCCGAAAGGGATGACAGTCTTGTTGATGCCGGCGGGTATGTCCTTTGTGGTGGTTGGTGCGTGGATGCCTCGGTGGACGTATCGTAGTGTGGTGTAGGGCTTTGTGAAGGGTTGGTGGGTGTTTTTGTTCAGGTTGAAAGTGACGTCTAAGAAATTGATGGTCTGTTTGTTGGCTTCGATGGTGATCCGTAGTTCATTGTGATTAAAGATGTGGCATATTTCTTTTTTGACGTTTTCTATATCTCTCGGTGTGGCGTTTGAAAAGCCATACCGAGAGACACTACGATACGTCCACCGCGAGAGCAACCACCCCACAATTTGTAAACCGTTTATAAGAGATTTATCGATTTATTAACCCGATGCGAAAGATTTTATGATGGAAAACACTGAGGATTTCTTAAACAAACTAGTGTTTCAAAATAATAATAAAAAAAAAATCCCACGCGTGAGACAAAGAAAGCAAGTGAATTCAATTTATACGCTTAACCGCAGAGTTATATTTTTAATTTATAAAAATGATCTTGTTGTGTCACACTGTCGTCTATATGCTTTCTATGCCAAAATGTATAAGACCAATGTTTGATCGAGAAATTAAAATTCTTATAACCGAGAGAGTGAATTTGAAATAACCTAAGTTTACTTCCCGGCCATCGTCAGAGGCCGATAAAAATCGATTTTACTTGTATTTAACGAAACTGAATTCAAACATTCAGCTTAGCGTTTTTGTAAAAAAAATTCTGAAATCTTGAAAAGCAACCGATTTACTTAGAAAAACGTATTTTCAAACATAAGTTAATAAATCAGGAAGGAGTCATAATCTCGGACTTGGCCAAGTCCCCTGAGGGAATTTTTGCGGCAACTGCTCATGATGTAACGCCTCGGTGGTGCGACAAGAGAATCGTTTCAGAGAATCGTTTAAGAGAATCGTTCGAGAGAATAATATTCACATCCTCTTCAGAAGTCGTTGGTGAGACAATGTGAATATTATTCACCTGTTAAAAATTCAAGTTGCCTTGAAATCGGGGTTGTTTAAAATGCGTCAGAAGCGTTTTTTTTTAAATCAAGGTTGAAATCAACCTTGATTTTAAGGCTAAAAAATTCATGAGTTGACTTGAAATCAAGGTGTTTTTCAAAATGCACCAGAACCTACTTTTTCTAACTACTTAAATACGTGTATATCTATCTATCTATATATATATATATATATATATATATATATATATGTACGTATGTATGTATTTATGTATATATATATATATATATATATATAGGAAGTCTGCAAGTCGATTTTCGCGTCGAACAGTGCTCAATACGTTGAAGCAGAGCAGAATAAATATTATGAGAGGAAAAAAGGACGCAACTACATTTCCCGGGAAATGGGAAATGTAGTTGCGTCCTTTTTTCCTCTCATAATATTTATATATATATATATATATATATATATATATATATATATATATATATATACACAGCCCAATAATCTTGTATTAATTCAGGTGAAAAACAACACAATGTACTGGTGGTGGTTACAGCGTGTTTTCATTCCGGGAGTGTTTTCCGGAAGATGGTACAACGGCCAAAAGGAAAACCGAACAATTTACATTGGTAATAAACGCTCTCTTCTCATTGGAATGGCACGAATAAGGCAACTCAGAGTGAGATTGAGTAAGTTTTTCCTACTTTTATTCATTTACCCACTCAAATTATCATACCTTTTATAGTTGAGTCTGATAGAGAAGCGATCTCTGTCCAACCTTAAGTATAGAGTTAAACAATAGTTCACTGAAATTCCTAAAGAACAATACAGAAAATGCACCGGAGACAAATTTCTCGGCTGCTGACCATTGTACAATTATTTGGAAAAGAGTTTATAATTAGGTAGCTGCATTTTTTTATGAACGTTAAATTTGGGTTTTAATGGACGGCATTCCTCTGCCCCGTGGGCAAACTTTGAAGACTTCTTAGGCAACTTTAGTTCTCTATAACAGAAATGTCCATGTCTATTTAAAAGTACGCACTATGAGAAACTGCTGAGTGAAATTAATACCAAAACAAACTTCCAACTTCCTGATCATGATCCTTTGTTTTCCAACTTGCAGCACAATGTAAAGTCCTCAACTATATGGAAACATTGTTCGAAGAATGTTTCAAGGGATACTCGACAGAGAACGAAGAAAAGACCGCCTACACCAAACCAGGCTGGATGCCTTTTGACAATGCTACTAGGAAGTACGAGTTATTACAACCTTGCCCGAAGCCATGGCGATATCAAAATGCCGAGGAAACCGACACTACACCCAGGTGGGGACAGTTCTCCTTTTATGATGGAGGAGGATTTGTAGCAGACCTCGGCTATGATAGCCATACGGCATTCAGTACAGTAACAAATTTACAAGACAACGGCTGGGTTGACAGGCAAACCAGAGTTGTCCTGGCAGAGTTTTCGACATTCAATCCGTCGGTAAATATTTTAGGTGTTGCCACATACTTCTATGAAGTTGATGCATCTGGACTGAAAGCAGCCTCTGTGCAAACTCGTGTTCTTTCACTAGATTCTACAACCGCACCTTCGCATCAGTTTTATTTGATTTGCTTGTTTCTGTACGTTGTATTCGTTTTTCTGTATTTTGGAAGAGAAATGTTTAGGCTTTATAATCATCGCTCTCGATATTTCAAGTCCGTGTGGAACTGGGTCGAGATCTTCCAAATTGTTTTTTCTCTGTTTGCTGTGGTAATGTACGTAATACGACAAAGTAAAACCCTTTCAACTATGGGTAAACTGCATAAAAACATTTATGCAAATCTAAGTTTCCAAGAAGCTATCACTTGCCAAGAAGTGGAAATTGTCGTACTTGGAATTCTTATTTTCATCGTCACTACCAAGCTCTTGCGAATCATTCGCTTCAACAGCTATGTCGCTCTATTCTCCAAAACATTGAAAATATCTGCACGATCTTTGTCATCCTTTAGTATTGTTTTATTGATTTTCTTTGTGGCATTTTTGCATTTTGGTGTCTTGATGTTTGGCTCTGTATCTGAGCGCTACTCTTCTCTGCTGAAAGGAGTTTAATTCCAGCTCGAGCTAACTCTTGGTCGAGTGAAAGCTAGACCAATCAATGAACTAGCTGAGGCTAGTACCATATACGCCAAAATATTCGCCTTTTTAATCCTCTTCACTCTCACTGTCCTCTGCATGAACTTCTTTATCGGCATGATCAACGATGCTCTTTTGGATGCTAAGAACAATGTGAGCGAAAGTGAGCCGCTGTATGAACTTATTGATGAGAACCGTTGGTCGAGGTCAAAAGAAAGAAAAGAACTTTTCGATGCAATCAGTAATACATTGAAACAGTCGAGAACTTCCAAAACGTCAGCAAAAGTAAAAGAAAAAGAATCAGGAAACGTTGGCCTTTACTCCAAGAACAGTTCCAATCTCAACTTTGATTTAATAAGTCAAGCTATCATAGCTTGGAGGGAGAAAAGATCCAGAGAAACAATAGATAAACGGCAATGCAGCACAAGGAGACAATCTTTGTTCGACAAGATAAGCAACATGTTAAAATCTCTGAAAGATGAAAGAAATGTTGACGGCAGCAAACGTAGAGAAAAAAAGAAAGTAAGATTTCAAGAGGACGTCGTCGAGTTTTCTCTCCGTAAATTACGTAGGAGACGGGATGACCTGTTACAACGGTTCGAGAGTATTGTTTCTGGGTTCTCGGAAGAAGACGAAGAATTTAATTATTTATTAAAAACAGCAGAGGCTTATAACTACTAGGTTGAGAGAGAATAAAAAGAAAAAGTGAAAGGCAGTAAAACACTTCATCGAAAATTAAGGTAAAAACAGATAGTTAAGCAAAATCATCTGGTAAACACAAAGAAATAGCAGGAATTCCCCACCGTGTCGTAGCATTGTGGTGACTAGCAAAAAAGGAAAAAAATCAAGCAATCAATTTTTTGGCATTTTTTTAAGGCTGATCTCAGAGGAAGAACTCGTATACATTTTTTCAGAGCCTATTGATTGTATATAAATATGGCTCGTATTCAACGGCAATAAATATGAACTCTTTCACCATTTAAAACAGATTAACACTAAGGAAGTTGAGTATTGTTATGTTATAATTCTGCCTGTAATATTCTGTAGCAAAAAGATGGAGCGATTTCGACGAATATGTCCGAGCTCTCAAAGATTTTAAAGATTTTAAAAATTATTTGTATTTGAGACTTTCGGAATATTTCCTGTGAATATTATCGATCATTTTATTGTTAAGCAACAAGTAACCTTTATTTATCTTATTCTGATACATTTGATTAGTTTTATTTATTGAAACATAACTATGGAATTGAATGAGTGTTTTCAATAAATTAGACTTATTACTTACCAAGATAATTTCTTTGTTCGGAGAAACTAACACCACCATGCTACTCTGAAATTCGAATGGAAATAAACTTATGTATGTGTATGTGGGATTGGAATTTTGCTGGTCTCGAGCGTATCGACTCCCTCCACTCCCTCTTCACCCCCTCCTCTTTTGCTTGTCGAAATTTACATGCAATTTGGTTTGGCGCAGTTTAGGACGAAATTTTTATTTGGATACGATGCAAAGTGATCTGAACACGACTAGTCACTTAATCGTTTCGTTTTGACAAATTGTGCAACGGGCTTTTAATCCGAAATTTGTTACTCCTTTTGCTGGTGCTAATTTGCAGAATCTTTTGTTAATGTGCTCACACATTGCAAGTAAGCAAAAATTGTCCAAGTTTCTACTGCTTATTTTATTAAAAATGAGTAATTGGAATGTTATTGAAGGTTGCTCTCCAGTTGTAATATGTTTTTCTAAAGAGCTGAAAGCTCCTTTTTTTAATCTAAAGTTACTGCTGGACGGTCAGGCTTTGATTTTAAAGAACATCATCCAGAGAATGACGTTTCTTCAGGCCTCGAGAGCAGAGAGGTTATTTATTTTCTCACCTTTTCGTGCAGATACTCACAGCCCATATTACCCCACTGATTCCAGCCACGAAAGCTAAGGAAGAAGCTATAATGTACACAATTATCCAGTCCAATGACATTATCGAAACATGCGCTTATTTTCCCAAACTGAAGAGCTGAAATTCTTTTAGCACCAAAGGCAAGCTAATTTAATGTTTTCGGTATTCCTTTTCAGTTAAATTGACTTTTAAGGTACAGATTTAAATTGCGATGCAAATTGGGCTGGGAGCGTGCTTTTTGACAAACTGAATATGGCGCAAAATTAAAGAAATCTCCATGATAACGAGTAATGCAAATTTTTTGGGGAATCAGGAAGCTATACATGCATTTTGGATTGAAAAGGAAAAGCACAAGCGGGGAAAGGCAAAACAGTCGAAGTAAGCTAATCTTTTTCCTCTAGACCAGAAGATTGGTGTTCCGATAGTCCTTTTTTTTTTCTTTGTCTGACGGAGTTTACAAAATAATTAAATATCTAATATACTTTGTTTTTATCAATTGGCAGTGAGACCTTTAAGCGTTATAAATTCCTTTGACTGATACTGTCGTCACCTAGTTTGTTTGTAAGTACATTTTTTCGGGCAGATAAATTATTTTCAAATCTGCGTTTTATGCCTTTTTTATGCTCTTCATAATTAGCAATATTTATATGGTAATGAACGACTACGAAACGTTTTCTTGTTCCTCTACGTGTGAAAACGTTCTGTAGAGTAAAACTTAAAGTTTGCTTAGTTTGCGAACTAAAAAACTCGTCAATACCTTCGACAATTTTAATTTTAGTTATCCTCGCGCTACAGTTGCGTTACGCAAGGTATATACCGCAGTGCTAAAGACTAAGAGCTCGTAAGGTGCCAAGATCGGCGCACAGTAAATAATACGCCGTTTCGCTCGGAAAGCTTCGTTTTGCGCCGGCTAATTAGCGGTTAATTATTTTAAAATACCGATTTGCAGAGACGAACGACTGCGTCGATCAGGAGACGTGGAGCCAGAAATCTGTCGCTAAAGGATTCACAAAGATTCGCTACTGAGCTTATTAACTGCGTGAAGCAATAAGGATTTATGTTTCACAAAGTATTAAAAGCAATTCATGTTTTCAAACTGAGCTCCTCTGGACCTTGTGAAACACGTCGTGCTCACTGAATTCCATGTGAAAATCCTGTGGGAAAGAGCCATGATTTGTCATGAAAAAATTTACGAACGAATTCGCAAAGGTGTACCGCATCCTTAAAAATGTTTTCCGTATGCAACAAGTTATGTTCAGCTGGTTGGTACATCGCAGAGATACTGCATTTTTGAAAATTACTCCATCAGTTCCCTAGGGAATGTAATAAAAGTCACTAGTAGATGTTAAACTGCTTGCAGCAAATAAAATGCATTAGTACTGGTCTAACTCGAAATCCAATAAACTTTTTCATTGTTAATAATACAAAAATTATTCCTTTTTTTTTTTTTTTTTTATAATTTATTAGTAGAACGCTTTATTGTTTACGCTAATATAAAGAATAAAGGAACGTGTGAAATATAGATGCTCGATGATATTACAAGCGTAAATACTTAGTTACTTATAATCTATTCTCAAGGCTCTCTTCAATGTACATGTCCTTGGCAGAGTCAGACTTCCATCTACCATGTATTTTAAGTAGTCTTTCTGAAATCGAATGACCACTATTACGCACTACAGATGTAATGCCACCGGATCTTAAGCTATGAAGACCGAAATTATTAGGATTATAACCTAGCTTACTCAGGCAATCTCTAAGAATTTCCCTGCATCTAGTATAAGAAATCTTACCACTTCTCAGGGTATAGCTAGAATTACTAGGGTGAAAAGTTAGGTCTAAATAAAGGAAGATTACTATTGCTGTCAATCCCAGAAAGGTTCAAATACCTCCTTAAGACACCGACAGGACAGTACTTAGATGTGGAAGCGCTAATATAGACATAATTCCCTTCCCTATAAATATCGGTTTTTCTTCGAGGCAAGAAAATCCTTATATAATCATTATGAAACTCAATATGCTTCGGAACGATATTACATAACTCGTCATACCGAAGAAAACCTGCGAAAGCTAATGAGCATGATGCGGCAATACGAAGATCCTTCAGATTAGAATCTTCCTTGTTATGAACATCCAATATGTTCCTAATGATTTCTGTGGTAATGGGTTTCTTTTTCACAATCGGTTGTGACCTCTGGCGTTTGGCAGATTCGATAATATTTCTGCAAAAATCGCTATCCAATGGGTTACAATCAAGACTAGGAACAAATGAATGTAGCCATTTAAGGGCAGCGTGAGTCAAAATTACAGAAGAACTGGAACTACAAGACTGTTGGACTTCGAACAAATAAAGAGATACGACACCTAAAGGAAAAGGTAGCTCAAAGCTTATTTGCTTGCATTTACACCAATCCAAAAACTTCTTAATAACTCGCATATAGGATTTTGCTGCAGCATCTGCTCTGGATTTCAACATCACGTCTAAAACCTGATTGGCTTTCAATGACGAAAGAACTGGGGAACCTTTCCATGACTTGCTTGAAGAAATTATCTGAAAAAAAAAAAGAACATAACATACAAACTAAAAGGAACAAAACGCACGCCCTTAGTGTAGTGACAATAAGATGGGAATCCCAAAGTGCCCAATGGATCATTGTTTGGGCCGGAGTCTGGGCCAGTGCCCTTAAAACAAGACATCATTGTTAGGCCAGTGCCACAAGATGCAAATCATTGTTTCGGCCAGTGCCTCATGAAATCAAACCATTGCTTAGGCCAGTGCCAACACACTTGATGAACAAGTCCAAATTGTTACTCAGTAAATTCCATTCTCAAGGCGATAATATAGCCTGTGAATTGGTGGAACCACTAGACAATTTTCCTCGCCAAGAAGCTGAAAGAAGAAGTCGACATCTGCAGTATTGGGATTCCAGAATCTTGAAAAGAATTTGGGGAGTTTGTGATTGTAATAACTGGCAAAACAATTAACAGTATGGGGCCCCAAACGCTCATCAAGAAATAGAAAAAATTCGTTGGTAATTTGCCAATCATCGGTATCAATTAATCGACTTATATAGTCAGCTTGCTGATTCAAAGTACGTGGAATCCACTGGACCTCTAAATGAATCCCCGACTGGATACAAATACTGAAAATGCTCCGCGCGATCCTGTGTAGATCAAGTTTCATGCTGCCCACTTCAACAATCTTGGCAGCGGCTTGGCTGTCAGTATACCACTTAACGTGCGATCCTTTAAGTACAGGGGCAAATGATTTCAATGAAAATTCAATAACAGATAACTCTCTCCATGTTGAGCTTCGCAAACTTTCGTTCTCCGTCCACAATTTGTGACACACAAAGTCATTGTTAAAGTCAATGAATGCACCGCCTTCAGTGGCGCTAGCATCTGAGTAAACAAAATAACTAGGATCTTTACTTACAAAGCAATATCTGCTGTTGAGGTTAATCAAATTATCTTTCCAAAAATATAATTACTCTTTGCAATAATCATCAAGACAAAATACTAAATCCCAATTATCTATACACAAGGTAGACATAACGCAATGTCTGGTCATTATCCTACCAATGTTTCCAACCAAAGGCGCAGTAGAGATAATTTGACCCGTGAAAGAAGCCAGCTCTCTAGCAGAAAGTTTAAAATCGGTCTCAATAATACGATCTATTGTGTTGGTAATCTTAGTAATTCTTCTCTCTACAATTCTTAGAGTACCCAATAAAGAATTCCAGGTTATACCTAACCAAAATTTGAGTAGGTTCCCATACCGATTTCTCTTCATTCACTACAAAACCCGCACCATACAAGTCCTGCCTTACGGTTTGGGCCTTAAGAAGACAACCTTCTTTGTCCTGAACTATCGCCCAACCATCGTCTAAGAAAATAGCTATGCAAGTACCTTGTATTCTCCAATGTTTCTCTAAAGGTTTAAGAAGCTTTGTGAAAATATAGGGAGCTGTAGACAAACCAAACGGAAGAACGGTGAAAACGTAAAATACTTCGCTATTGGAATCTGGAGCACGCCAACAAAACCCCAAAAACGTTTGGTGATCCTGCGAAATTTCGATATGGTGATAGCCACTTTTCAAGTCAAAGGAAAACATGTACGAATCCTTGGCAAAATAAGCCATAGCAATTTTCCAATCCTCGTATTTGATTCTTTGTTTAATTAGGGACCTGTTAACGTGACGTAAATCAAGAATTAATCTCTTTTTGCGACATGGCTGAATAGATACTGATAAGGGGTTGACGATAAAAGGTTGCTTATCAACCCTACAAACCCGACCTGAATTAACTAACTCAAGAACAGCTTGGTCAACGAAATTAGCATGAAGTCGAGCAGACTTATTATTCTTTAGCCTTACAGCTAATGGAAGGCTAGCAAATGGTCATTTGTAGCCCTTTTCAATAATAGTCAAAATGAAATTTGGAGCACCAATAGATCTCCAAAACCCTAGATTTTTCTTCAAATTACCCTTAACGGTTAAAGACTGTCCGCTTTCAAGTTCGTATTTCTGTACGATTTCTTCTACCTGTGCCAAGTCCTCTTCACTGCTTTGATTGGTATTGAGATGAATGGCTTCCGGCTGGCTTGTTGTAGTTGGAAAACTGGTAACTTCCTGGTCAGAACATGGATCTACAGTCTTTAGCCCAGTGCCCAAGTTTTCCACACTTGTAGCAACGTGAGTAGTCGCAAGAAGCGCCTCTACGGCCTGAATAAAAGTAATAAAAGAAAACGTAGTAAGCAGAGGGGAGGGGGGGGAGAAACACTCGCGAAAAGATGTAAAACTGTGAAGTAGGAAACCGCAAACGTGAATGGTGTACAGTGAACAGTAGAGAGTATAAGTACTAGAAGCCGACCAATAACAGCGTAGAAAGCACAATAAAGGGAGTGGCAGGTGTCAAAGCGAAACAAGTACGCCTAATTACTTCGAATACCAGCGGAAAATACATATTTCACAACTTTTTTCGAGCGCGCTGCGATTGGGATAATCTAGCCAACGGAAACTTCCCCCTCCCACAAGTTACAAGGGGTGCTCACCGAAGTAAGTAAGGTATGCATTTTTTTTTAACATAACATATCAAAGTATTTTTATTTTGTGTGCGTCTGTGTGTGTGTGTTTCCCTTTGTATCCTTTCGCACAAAGGCACACGTAGATGTTTTCCTCATACTGCGTGGCACAGGCTCCTGTGTTTTGACAAGGCCAACTGATGCAAGGAGACTAAAGAGGCAAACGAAACACGGCACACCTTTCGATCAAAACTTAGGGAAAAGGAGGATTGAGGTTTATACTCATATTTTTTTTCTTCTTTCGTGGCTCAAATGAAATTTATCATTTTTGCAGTCAAATAATTAAATAAACCCGTAACCCAGATTTTTGATTCATACAAAATGAAACCTGACAGTCACGTGTGTACTAGAACTTAATATCGCTTGGAGAAAATTAATTCAAACTCTGTGTTAGGAAGGTTAAGACTGTTTAGACAAATTTAGAGGCTTATCCAGTAATTCACCAAATTCGGTAAGTGCAATAACAATCCTTTACTTGAATTAAATGTACCTGCTCGCAAGCTCATGTTCAGAAAGATTCCACAAACGTCAATGGGTAAATTAATGAGTGGTCAAGTCATTTCGTGAAGTTTTTTTACAGCCGGAATAGGAACAGTGCTTCAATCAAATAATAGGTTTCCAAGAACTTTGTGGAAATAGAATTTAGAGACTCCCTTTTTGAATTTCCTATCCCATTTTTGTTTTATTCAAATGTTGTTGAAATTGTAAACTACGTTGAGATTTTTAACTTGCTGTGATACGAAAGTGATGGTGACTGTACTGGCTACAAACTTGTCCGAGTTGTTGTACACGTCTCATGGAAGTACCTCATACGGCAGTTTACCAATGATGTCATGAAATGCAGCTAGGTTAAGGGAGAGGCATAAATGTATGCTGACACAAGCAAGTCCACACTCAACGCCATCGGGAGCATAACTTGAACCAATTCCAGAGATATTTAGGTAAGAAAATTTGTGAGCTTTAAACTTGGCATAGGCCAGTCCTCTATCGGCAACGCGGCTGAGAGTTTTTGCACGCACATTGATGACTTTTGTTTATTTAATTTAAAGGGAACAAATTTCAATTTTAAAATAACTAAATACAGTTAAAAATACTTGCTGAAGAATTCTCGCATATTTTACATAGCGTTAAGGCATCTGTTACAGATGTTGCTATCGCAGGTACATAAATACATATGGCTTTTGAAGAAAACGCTCCATATACTATGTTATGGGTGGAGTTCACCATGCGAAGTGAAAATAATATCTGCATTTTTATTTTGTAATCACCCAATTTCCACAAATTCTTGTTTTCGCAAATTGCAACAGAGCCTTTCAAGTGTAAGGCCGGACGGCCTCTTCCGAAACGGCTCATGTCAACCTGTCCGGCCTCGCATACGTCAGGATTGCGTGAGCAGGGCCGATGGATCATATGATATCAGTATCAATCCAATAAGCAGAGCATTGATGTTCTATAAGAAGAACACCGAATGTTCTTCTCAGCATAATTCGAATCCAGAAATTGCTATATATTTCTAAAATTAGTTCAAGAACCGTCTAAAGAGGGCACGTATTTAGTTAACAGGTAAAACGGAAGCTGTAATTTGATCAGTTTGTTAATATCTTTTCCGTGCTTTCAAGAGGCCTAAATCTGTTCAATTCGTTCAAAGCTTTCCAGTCATTCGAAGTTTCCAGACATACGCTCGTCGCACTCTCTCATAACCCTTGCTAATGCTGTCTAAGGGGAAAACTTGAACCTCTTATATTTAAACTGACAGCTTAAAGCTAAAAAGGAAAAAAAAGGGTTACGTGCACTTAGTTTCGAATCCTCACTGATTTGGTCACGTGCATCGAATTGCGGTTTACAACGAAACTTTCCGCCAAAAAGAAAAAAAAATTAAGAATGAATAAAGAAAGTCCTCATTATTTTTAAAATATTATTTTCACTTCACCCATGATTAATTTCCTGCGGCTAAAATGTTTGTTCAATATACTTCACTGGCATTATAGAACCGGCGAGTTGCTGTCATTAATTATTAAAAGGCTACATTGGCATATATTGTAGAGTTTATCTGTCATTTCAGGCAAATGATGCTTTGAAATATTTCTGATGTGTTTCTGTAATTTATTTTTGAAAATGATGGTACTGCTAGAATATTTATTGCGCAAAAGGTGTACAAATTTAGTCTTTGCTTCTTAGACAGAAGTGTCTATGATGACATTCTGAAAATAACACTAAAATTAATTAAAAATGATGTCGATATTCTGCTGGAAGCAAATGAAGTGTTTTCATGTCGGTCAATGTTTGGGCCAAGAAAAACACAGCATTTTCATGAAAGAGACTGGAGCATATTCATTTATTGTTTTGATAGAAAAATGAAAAGGAAAATGAAAAACGAATATTCGTAAGCCACTACGCGTCAGACTCCTCACAAAATTCATTTTTGTTCGAATATGCTTTCCTGTTTTTTTTTTCATCATCCCTTTTGAACACAGCTTAGTTAAATTTCCGACCGTTGATTCTTTCTTTTTTCTTCAACACAATGAAATGTCTCTCTGACAACACGATAAAAATAGTTTTTCTTAGCAGCTTTATTTTTGCCTCTGTCTTCAATAAACGGCGAAATTTTTACACGGAGTATCACCATCTGAGAAGAAATTTGCAAATAAAGCTAAGGAAATTTCTGTGCATGTCAAATTTCCCACGTTGACTCGTTGCTAGCATCTAAAACGAAACTATAAGAAATTTGCTATTTCATTCCTTGGGAAATTTCCTAGAAGCTTCATGCAAAGAAACGGGCTCATAAAATAACTAACTAAAGAATGAAATTCATTAAAAATGCAAAACAAAACGGTAGCGTTGAAAGAATATCTCTATAAGGTGTCTGACGTCTACCATAACAATTACTTAATGCAATGCCTAAAGTTAATTTACGTAGATGGAAATAGATCTCAGATTTATCAACGTCAGTTGTCCCCGTGATATATCACACTGAGTCTTCAGCAGCTCCAGGCGAGAAGCTACTCGCATGCGAGTAACGTAGTGCACAATTTTACATTTTGGTAATTTTGCAGAAGTAGTTTGGAAAGATGCCTCGTATCGTGTCTCTTGGTACCTTCACTGTGCTGTGCTCTCTGATGTGTGTTGTGAAATGTAAAGAAGGTGGGTAGATTCTTTAATTACTATAAGGGAAAGTTTTTAAAACTGTTAATTTATAATGCGTTTGAAGCGGGTATAAGCGAAAATAATTCATTGCAAATGTTCTATTGTGACTATTTCAAGAATTCCAAAGTTTTTAAAAATGTTCTACCTTCTTATAGGAGAGTAAAATGTTTATAAAGCTATTATGTGGAGATGTGAATCTTTAAAGACAGGTTGGATCTACCTCACGCAAGCTGTTTTAAGCAGGCGGTTGGGATGAAAGGATCATGGAGTTTACGCTATAAATTCGGCACAAATTCATGTTGCACTCACTTTCATTTGCTAGTATGCTTTGACGCTGAAGAAAAAACTCCCTGCCTGCCGTTACTGTCATGAGTATGACTATGAAATTTAGTGAGCTAACGTGAAGCTTAATCATCCATTTTTCTCACGGCATATTTACGCAACGAAATAAATAAGTAGAAAATTTCAAAAAACCTCCCCCGAACATCTAATTAGTCCTTTAACTGTCGTTTTGAAAACGATTATCGATTGGCATCAAAAGCAAATATGTAGAATCGTAAAAACGGTCGAAATGTCGACACAACCTTTTTATGGCGTGAACTTCCGTCGAATACACATAAATCTAAATTTAGAGATAGCTCCTTCTGAAAGAAAGTTACACGTTTTATGGCTTCAAATCCACGTGTAAGGAATTAGTTTCGATTAAACAACACAATGTCCTTTAGTTATCTAGAAACTGGAATTTTTAAGAAACATAATCATCTCGAAAAAAATAACTGAATTTAGTTTTGTCTCATCTTTTTATCATCATTATCTGTATTCTGCACTGACATAATGAACTTGGAAAAACACTGGGACTTTCATGAAAGCTTCGCACAAAATGTTTCTCCGATCTACATCCTAGATCTTAGATCCTAAATTGTTTGTCTTGATACTAACTTTTCGTGTTTTGAAATGTCAATTCTTTAATAAAATTTGCATCTTTCCTCTTTGACAGGTTCAGAACTGAAAAATCACCTATCAATTATTTATCAAAAAATACACTTATGCCTTAATTAAAATCAGCCCCATGCCAAAAGTTTGGTGACTTCTGCGAAGCGGTTGAAAACATGAGCCATAACTCATTAGATACAAAAGGCGACGCTATAAGGACATACGTGAAAATTCTAAAATAGAACAAGTCTTTTTCAAGCCAATGTCAGTTGCAATCCTGGTTGTTTAAGTCTCTGAAAATAAAAACAAGAACAAAAACACCTTAAAATAACAAAACTATAAATTTCTCCCCCTAAACACATCAATAAAATCTTTCAATGTGAGAAGTTTCGACATTTATTTAAAAAGAAGACAAAACAGAAAAATCATAAACGAAACTTTAAGCCTCCCCTGGGAAATCATACAGGTTACACATGCAGTCACTTCCAAAACAACACACTGCATAGTAGTACATAAAACACAATCTAAGAACAGCGAGCCTACGTGAGAGTTTCGCATTTCTAAAGAAGTGCCCTAGAAAGCTCAACTATCTCATATTTGAGATCCTCCTTATTAAAAAGAAAAGACCAGATATTAACCTTACAGAACATTACTCAATATCGTAGTATTCAGTCATGGCTTGTAGTTTTGATTGATTCTAGGTTAACTTTACCAATTCATGTAAGACCATAAAGTCTAGGGAGGGCCATCGCCATCCACCCTCGTTAAGTTTAGGCAACGACACGATTTCGAGTGCAATTTGGTGTAAAAAAGCACGAGCATACTTTTCAAAGACAACAAGATTGCACGAGCCCGTAGGGCAAGTGCAATTTGTAGTCTGAAAAATTTACAAGCGCTTATTACACCAAATTGCTGGGGGAATCATGTTATTACTTGTTATAATGTACATGAAAAAACATCGCAGAAGGTCAAGAAAGACGAAATTTTGAAAGCATGCGTGCCGGCGCTATTTGTAATTTGCACTCGTATTACAACTTTGGACCCGCGTTATAACTTTGCACTTCTGTTTCATGAGAATGCACTCGTTGTCAGCCAATCGGAAGAGCGTAATTTTTTCATGTACATTATTGATAGAGTTATTTTTTTAAAACACTTACCCAGACTTCATTCGGGTGAAATAATTTGTGTGAATACAAAGCACACTTTCAAGCTTTGTTCTCATAAAAGAAATCATTTATGTACCTTAAAATTTGTGTACATATTTACATAAAGTACATCAATTGTGCCAATCCCTTTCAATTTTGACAATGAAAACAGGATGTAATCGAAACGTTATGTTATACTTTTTTCGTTGATTTAAATTCGTACACCCTTTGTATTACTTTGATTGCAGTTTGATTTACCAATTTCTCTACCTCCATCCCGTCCTATTATTTACCTTTACCACTAGATCCGGTGTCCTTGTCAAGTAGAGCATTCCATTGTAATCAGTGGTATTATGTTCTTCCTATCGGAAAATATATTACTCATCATTCTTTTCTGTAGACCAATGTCGTCAACTGGAGTTCAGAGCTGCCCTTGCATTTAGAGGAAAACGGCTGCTTAACCACAAGATAAAAGAAGTTGACAACGTCGCAAGGGATTTCTGTGGAGCATTGTGTTTCATGGAACCCAACTGTGTGAGCTATAATATACTAGTATCCAATGATTCTCCCTCGATCACCAAATGCGAGATGAATAACGCTACACATTTTGAACATCCGAGTGATCTGGTGTCATTTTCAAACAGCATCTATCGTGGATCCAAGGTATGTTTGTAGATGTAATGATTGGGACAATCTTTTTTAGGCCTATCCGTATGTCTTTGTCACAATTCAATTTTTTACTGGTTTATTAACGTATTTTTTTTATTTTGAATGAAAATGTACAAAAACCATATATGTGAACTGCAGTTAAAGCAATAAATTTGAAAGAGAGCTTCGCATTGATGAACACTAACAAAATTCAGGCCTGCACGGGATTTGAACACATGACCTATGCGATATCGGTGCAGCGCTCTATCAACTGAGCTAACAAGCCAACTGGGAGCTGATCCGAAGTTCACATATATATGATTTTCATATATTTACAGTCATTTATTCTTCCCTTCACGGTTTATTTGGTACCAACATGATGACCAGCTCCCAGTTGGCATACAAGATAGTTAGGTTAAATGCTTTCAACTATCATTGTTTACAATTAACGTGATTGGTACGGAGACGTAGCTTATAAAATAACGCTTATCGTTATCTCACCAAAGTTTCGATATTTAACGAACGTCAAAGATACGTTTATAAGCATGACTCAATTGCAGCCTTGATTGAATTCGATTGCCCTTTGAATATGGGGAATATGGTACTAGTAAACACAGTTTAAGCACCGCATTAAAAAAAACAAAAAAAAAACAAAAAAAAACAAAAAAAAAAGTCTTGAGCTGCTGTAATTTTAATTCCTTATCTACAAATTTTTTTCAATTATTTGCCTTTCCTTCATTAGCATTTAATTACTTGTGAACGACTTATTCACAAAGCAAGTACATGTATATTCAGTTTATTTTATTTTAAAAAGAAGCATGTGCTGTCAAAGTTTCCTGGAAGTATTGTCAGCACTTGATGACCACTTTAAACTCTCGTTGTTTCATTTATCTGCCCTCAAAATGGCTAGGTTAATGTACCTCCTTACCCTCCCCTTCCCGCCTTGTAAGTTGCGTGGACATAGCCTTGACTTGCCCTCTTTTGCTTTCTTGTAAAGAACGTTTGCATAAAGAAGCCATGCCCGAGTAATGCGATCTGCCAAGCTGGTTTTTCCAGTGAGGGTTATAGATGTGCCTGCGTACCGGGTTACACGGGTGAATATTGCACAGTAGGTGAGGCAGATATATGTGTTCAATATCTGAGTGTTAGCAGTTACTTAATGATTAGGAAAGTCGGTGACCGTTGTTTTTAATAAATTCTATAGTACCCTCCTCATGCACTTCTTTTTTTTATCGAGGATGAAGAAATATCAGCGGTGAACTATGAGAGAAACCTAGGGAAGCGTCGGGAGGGGGAGGGAGGTGGGTAGTGATAGGTCGAAAGGCGTTTATCAAGAAGGGGATATCCTCATTGCCGCTTCTAGCAATGGAGAACGCGATGAACCCTCTCTGCATTGCATTCCTATCAGTCGCTCGACGCGTTTACCGTTCCTGACGGTGCGACTTCTTTCATTAAGTTCAAAATAAAAAGTGACTTAATTGCCTAGAGGACGTTAAAGTTTTGGTGACTTCCCGATTTTGTTCTGTATTAGGTGGCTAAGAAAGGTACAAATTTTATAGCGCACGTGCTGCACAATTGTTTCGCTCGTCAGATCTTTTGTTTCACCACGTTTTCTTTGCTGTCAACGTCAAGGTTTTCTTAAAGTCCCTAATAAATTAAAGATATGCAGATCCTAACTCATTGTGTACTGTGTGTTATTAAATTTCTACATGATCCTTTCTTTAAGACGTTGATGAATGTGATCTGGGAGAACACAAATGTAATTCAAATGCTGAATGTATAAATACCCGTGGATCCTACGACTGCGAATGTAAAGAAGGATTTACAGGAGATGGCCAAACGTGCATAGGTGAGTGTTGACTGGTTATCACCAAACAGGAAGTACATTATCCATCAGCCACTCTACAAGCAAGCAAGCTGCATTCCTGCCGTAACACAAGAAGGTCTATTCTTCAACTTTTACATGCTTGTGCATGTGACATTTATTTTATGGTTTAAGTGACTGCTAGAACTAAAGGGAAAATCCTTGGAAGCTCATGTAATCTCTTGATGTCACCCATTCCCCCAGACCACTTAAGAATATCTTTGCGTTTTTTTTTTCAGATTTTGACGAGTGTAATTTGGTTGATAATTATTGCACCAAGGGTGGCGCCAATTGTACAAACACTGCAGGGTCATTCAACTGCACCTGCCAGACTCGATATTTCTGGAATGGCATGAAATGCGAAGGTTTGTTTACTCTAGTATTATTTAGGCCTATGCGAACATCATCTCAAGGAGTCTTTCTTACTCTCACTTGCTCTTGGTCCGATGCTCTCTCTCTGTCATAATCCCTATCATTGGACTGTCTGTGTGTGTCTTTTTGTCTGTCTGTCTGATTATCTGCACGTTCATTTTGTTCGTCTGTTATTTTTCTATCTGCTTGAAATTCTTTATTAACATTAAAACGTAGAAATCGGATTTCTAGTTTCATTTTCATTCTGTGATTAGAACAGTAACGAAAATAACTGAAGAGGGCATGTTTTCCGACAAAAAGATTAATTTTTTTAAATGGAGCCTTAATTTGATCAAAGATATTAGTTGATCCTGAGCTACTTCTAGCGCCAATACTAGCAAAAACTACCAAAAATAAGAGGTACTCAAATGCAAAATTTGCTATTCAAAGGCTATCTCATTTTAGCTTATTTAAGCTTTTTTGAGGTGAACCCTTGGCTGTGAATTCAAGTTCCGAGTTTCTTTAAACGTCCTTTTTTTGGTTTGAAACTGTTATCCCCGGAAAAAAAAAAAAAAAAAAAAACATTACTATACTTGTGCGCCATTTGGAAAGAGAAGCGAAAATCACAGGAAAGAAATTTGCAGGTGATAGGCGCTCGCCGAACTGCGTACTTTCTCTTCTAGGTAAGGAAATGTAATTGCAAAGTTGGTGGAAATTTACCAACTTTTTTTAAAAAAGGTGCATGGTATACCTGTAAAGCATTAAGAATCTTTAACTGCAATTAATTCTTGAAAGTTCTAACTTTGATAAACACGATTATCATTTCCTCTTTGAATTATATTTGATTCTCTAGCCGATGGTTGTTACAACCACACAAATCTGACAGAGGCTAACAGAAAAAGCGATTACTCTACACCCCAATTTGGTCCTTCTCTGTGTGACAGTGAGCTTGAGGGATGGTATCGTTTTGTGGGAGCTGCAGGAACAAAAATGCCAACAACGCGTGTCTCAGCATACAGATGTGGTACAGACTGGTCAGGCTGGTTGGATGGTGTTCATCCTACAGTGGGAGATGGTGAAGTTTCCAGGAAAGTCTGCTTTAGTGATCGTCAAACCGGTTGCAGATACGAAAGAAATATTTTTGTGAAAAACTGTGGATCCTACTTTATTTACTCTCTGGTTTCACTAAGTTGTAGCTCGCGCTACTGTGGGACTGAATAAACGAGGGGCTAAAGAGTAAAAAAAAAAAAAAGACCAAAGAAATTGAATGTGAAGTGTAAATTTTGACTGGTCTTGTTAGCATGCAGTGATTCAGAATGAATGTTTATGATTTTCTCTAATTTACCACTTTAATATATAGATTTAGCCAAGCCTAAAAGCGGAGCTCTTATTAGTTTATTTTCCAGCCCTACGTTTCACTGAATAAAAACTGTAATAAAACTATCTACTGGCAAGTCTTTGTATTATATTTCAACCCAACCATTTCCTCAACATATAAACACTATTACAAAGTAATTAGCCAGGGAAATGGAAAACTTGTGGCATATACACCATGTTTGAAATGCCATGATCATAGTAAGCTAACAGGATTGAGGAGGATGTATGTGGGAATAAGCCCTCTTGTCTGTATCAATAATTTGCTAATCACTCCTGTTGGCAATGTTTTGATGAGGTTGGGCTAGCAAGGCAAAGGAACTGAGGATTTTAGTAGGCAGTGACTTTTTTTTCAAATCTGGAAACTATCATCACAAAAGCCATACTTGTTCCCAGTAACTAATTCTCATTCTGATAAACTAATTTTGAGAAGGATACAATATTTTATAACAAAAACTCGATGCAACGGTTGTGCAAAAACCTTTAATTTGACTATACTTTTATAGCCAATACCAGTCCCTTCAAATGGTAAAATGTTAGGAGGTTCAGAGAAAAAAAAAATCTGCCCTACATCTGCAAGATTTGATGTAATTATTTTAATTACAAGAATATTAACTGATACTAGGGGATTTAATAATATTAATAAAATAATAAAATTTGGTTGAAAAATTGGAATTCAGCACAGGCTGGATAAACAAGGTTCTTAGAAAAAGAAATGTGTACTAATGGAAAAGCTAAGCAATCTTTTTTTTACAACACCTGCCTGTACCTATATGGCATGTAGTAAAGTCTTTTGAAGTAGTCATAATCCCAGTTTGATATGTTGAAAACACATGCACATGCAGATTTCCTGTAAACCTATAGTTTAAGCCTGTGATGACTTCGAAATTTTGATGCACACCTCAAAAGGAGAACAAATAAATTTCATGTTTCTATTTATTCAGTTTAGGTTGGTGAGGTAAAATTGAGTCAAACATTCAAGATGTACATTGACAGGTTCAAGAAATTTTCACAACTAATTTTTAAGGTTAGCCTGCCTGGAACAATCATCTTGAAATGATGATGCCTGACAGAACTATCCGTGGTAAGAGGGCAGGCTTTCCTTTCTTCATTTAAAGAAACAATGATGTTATCATCTTTCCACAAGCTCAGTGGAAAGTGAGAGTGAATGAGACTGATAGTGTCTTTGCTACTTAAATAAATATCCAGAGCTGGGATAAAAAGTCAGACATGGTCTGCAAAACTCTCTTACTTTGATTTTTTAACCAGTTAAGCTAAAGCTTTACATTCTTGTTTTGTGATTATGTGGATGCCAATTACTGGTAATTTAACTTTTATGCATCAAAATACAAAAAAATGTTCTCTTCACCTATGTGCCCTGAACATTACAGGGAAGGAGGCA